TCTCTCTCTCTCTCTCTCTCTCTCTCTCTCTCTCTCTCTCTCTCTCTAGATGCACCCAGTCGCCATCTTTTTCTCGTTAACTCTTAACGACGCGACATTTATTTTTCGCGATAGAATCCGGGGGATAGAGAAACGTCTTAAATTTCTTTCCCACCTTCCTACCGGTTCGCTCTCCCCTGTTTCTCCATCCGTTTCCATATTTCCGGCGACGCATTCCGCCCCGTTTCGCCGCGAGCGGTTCGTCTGTTAGCTTGAGAAATTCCGAGGACGTCTCAGTTCTCAACTGGATTGCTTGCCTGTACATAATCTCGTATAGGCTCTATTCTTCCTGTATTACTTCCACTACTTTCTTTTGCATTTTGGAAGTTTTCGGTTAGAGCTACTGGAAATTAATTCTATACTCTGAGTTGAAAACTAATGTATTTGTTCAGTGAATTAGACATTATACTATGTCCTTATTCTGGGAATAAGGACTGAAGAAAATGCCGAAACTTAGGTCAATATTAGAATTACATAAACATTGAAGTGTCCGAATTTCTAAACCTTTTCTATATCATAGATAGAGGGAATTAACCAGTATTTTCAACCTAAACATATATTGGTAGTAGCTCCAACTAGAAAACTCTAAATTTAACGTCGCAGAGACAGATTCGAGCTTTCGATTGTGTATACCATTACGTCAATGGTAAACAATCCGGTTCGGACAATATTGAGTTGGACTAAAATGCTACAGACTTGTTCTGCAATCCGATACATCGAGAAACACCGGACGTTAAGCGATTCGTTTCGCAAACAACGCGCTGGCTTGCCGTCTCGTTCGAGATACGCTTTGGTAGCTTACGTAACGGTGAGAATTTGAAAATCGAGAGAAAAATAAAGAGAAAAACGATGTACGATTCCGACGTTTTTAGCACGTGTTCATTTTCTGGAAAATAAAATCCATTTTTATTTAATTTCTGATTGTACGTATAGAGAATTTTGTTTTCAATAGTTTACTCGACCATGTGTTTACACTATTGTTGTTTGACAAATTATTTGATCTCACCATTTGTTTCGTCTTCTTGAGTTTAAACTTATCGAAACAAATTTGTTATTCAATAACCTTCGACTCGATCGTAATGGTCGCAGAAGTCAAATTAAATCACGAATTGAACCAGGTACTCATGTGTATTTGGGATAAACATAGATAAAAGCTTTCGTCGGAAGGTTTTTCTCGCCACTCGCGACAATTTTCCGATTCTATTGGATTCGCGATCGATGTTACGATTATGCGAAGCAATAAGCACACCCTCAAATCGCGCCGATGGAAATAGAATTGGCGACGACTATGTATTTCCGCGCATCATTGTCGTTGCCGTTACGTAATCAATGTCGGTCCACGATACAACTTCCATCTTGAAAAATCGATACTTGGGTGGACTCATCATCGTTTTACCTAAACTTTGCTGATAACAGAACCATAACCATCCTCGTCTCGATGCTCGATGCCATCTGCTCGATTCGATCGACCTATGATAACAATTAGATTATATTAAATATTAAATGTTAGATTTAACAATTCTAACATCTACGTATCTATTAGAGCGAATCAAATGTTCGCGCGTTTTTTACGTTGTTTCAGTTTGTGCAATTTTTTGAAATCATTTTTAGCTTTGGAAAAGCTACAAAATGATACGCAACACTTGCATATAAAGTAATGTTAACGACTTCAAAAAATTCCACAAACTGAAGCAACGTAAAAAAACGCACGAACTTTCGGTTCATCCTATAATATCGTGTTCTTGAAATTGAACTTATCGGTGTAATTGCTTTCCGAATTTTGAATAACGGTCACCAATCGTCGAGTAATTTTAAAAGGAGACTCGGGATATACATTTTGGTAGTTCCGGTACCATATTCGATGCGCCAACTCTAACAATAAACAAAATTCGGGTACATTTATAACAATTCTAAATAATTGGAAATTTTGTACATTTTCCAAGACTTCCCCACACCTGAGTGGGGATCGGAATCGAAAGGTGATCGTCATTGTTATTAGTACTGTTATCGTCAGCCACGGGAGTATTCGATGTCGGATTCGTGTCGACGACGGATCTATCGAGAAACCGGGCTTGAAAAATCACGGAAGACGTTAGGCGAGCATCGACGGCTGGCTGGCAAACGTAGCGGTCCAAGGGGATGGCATTTAGGGTGGCGTCGCGGCGCCATGCGAACCGAGAATGTCCCGCTCGCCCTTCTTCCGCGTCTAGTTGACGGTGCGAAAGATTTTCATTGAGCGTCGCCGTCGACGTCGGCAAAGGTCGTCTCGGTATAAATAACTCTGGCGCCGTTGTTGGCTCGCTCTCGATTCTCCGCTTCTTCGGTCAATTCCTTTGCCGTTTACACGCGTTTACAGCGCGTTTTAGATCGTCGCGAAACACGGAAGGACGTGCGCGAAAATGAACTCGAACATTGTCTAAGATCGACGGGGAACTGTGATCCTATCCACGGTAAAATGAAACCGAACCTTGAAAAAAGGGGATCCACGAGCAATGCAGGATATATATTTCTTTTACTGGAGCTTTGTTGTATAACGAACAGAATAATTTGAAGATTTGGATCAATAATAATAAAATGCCACCTTTAATTGATGTTATTTCTAAATACGAAAAGACACTACTGAGATATGAAAAACGTTGTTAAACATAGTTAAAAATTCCGGAAAGTTTCTCCTTAATCAGAAAAAATACTTCTGCGTGCTCTGATCCTCCTCCACCCAGGTCGAACCGTAATTTCTAGCGGCGCGAAGATAATCGAACGGTCTTCGAGGGAAACTTAAAATTGGCGAGGGTTGCTTGAGTTACGGTTCCCAGGAAGAGCTTTCTCGAACGAGTTCGATCTCCAGACGAAAACAAATCGGCCGCGCCGAGTGAGGGAGTTTCCAACGAGGCTCGAGTCGATGGTAATGCGAAAAGTTCGGACGGTCGGTTTTTCGCGCACTCTGATTTTCCTCTCGCGGGAAAAATGGTCCGACGGAGTCGAGTCTCGACGAGGAACGAATCGAAGCTCTGCTTTACCCCGTTCCGGAGAGGTATTGTAGCCGCACGTGATTATCGGAGAACCGAAAGCGTACGCTTGGGAGAAACATTAAGGAGGACGATTCTTTCTTCGGGACTTGCTGTCTCCCGGGTCGTGGACCAAACGCGCTTGATTTCCTCGATACCTTGTTAGCTGGGATTTCCGGGGGTGGCAGTTTGCCTCGTCTCTTTATTTCGTTTCAATGACTCGCGAACGCTCGTCCAACTGTGCTTTAAAAATTCAAACCTAATCCTTCGTGCTTCGTGGATTTTTGTAGGGTTGATAATTGAAAATCTTTGTCCTGCTGCAAAGTTTATAAGTAGACTGAAGATATTTATATAAATTCATTTTCTAAACCTCATAAAATAATCAACAGGTACCAATAGTATGGTTTTTCCTTACTGCCTTGCAAAATTCATAAACTTGTATTACATTCGCTAATCCACCCTTTAGATATTTCATCCCCTATTTTGAAGCATCCTGTACGAGCCGTGAAAACGAGGGAGTCACGAAAGTTTCGGTCTCCCAATTTGAAACGTTTCTCATCGGTCGCGAGTTGTAAGACAGCTTGGCACCCCGTCGGTCGGTTATTTAGTAGGAAGAAGAACGGGAAGAGGAGGAGCCGCGATTCTGGCTTTTCCGTTTTCAATTCGGTCCGGGGGTTTGAAGTTAGGATAAAAAGGGAGCACCGGAGAACGGTGGAATTTCATTGAAAAGTTCGCCACGAATTAGTCGCGAGACTGAATAACACCACTTGGAAGTTTGAACCGGGTGTGCCGTTGTTGGCGGACATGGCTGCTCGACTGCTATATAACCGCATACCTCGTTTTCAGATTTGCAAGTTGCCACCGCGAGTCTCTAATGGCGGGGCTAACTTCAAGGAGGTAGTATTTTTTTGGGGGTCAGTATCGAGGCAATTTTGCGGGCAAAGTACTCAACATAATCGTTTGAAATTTGGTACGTTTGTTTATGCTTGCGTGTGCAAGATTCTTTTAACCCTCTAATATATCGAGGTTCAAATGGTATTATTTTACCAAATAATTTTAGCTTTTTTCACAAGATGACGTATTCGTCTTAATTATATAATGTCTCCGATAACCAATGACAAAATCGACGACGGTTAGCAGCACTATCAACTTAAAATATCGAAGTAAATGCCTTTCAAGTTGTCTGCGAAAAAAAATTGGCCCATGAAGGGTTAAATTTACAATTGCCTGATGGAAACTATCAATGAGTGAGCATTGATTTTGTTCTGCTAACTATAAACATGGTTGCAGGGTGGACTAGAGTGGATAGTATTAAAAGAAATTTGTTTAGATCTAATTTCTTATATCAAAAATATTCTAGTTCGCATTCTAATGTTGGCCTCCTTCGTTATCCTACCCCGAAGAGGCGAAGACTGGATCGATTAAAATTTGACACGGTTGAATCGATTGTTCGAACATCCTTGAACTTTTTAAATTTAATATTCCTCTAAAATCGCTCACGTATAGCAATTTAATCCACTTAAATAATCACCACACCACCCTCGGAATGCAAAACTGTATCGATCGCACGCGTAGGTCGGAAAAGGCCATTAGCGAATTGTCTCTCGTTCGAAAGACCTCTTTATTCGCTACAGTGTAAAATATGAACCTCATTTTGTAGTCACGTTCCGATTATGATAGTTAGCCTTTACCATGCGTAGAGCTTAAAACTGACCACACAAGTAATCGAAGAGAAATTCTGAACAGACAAAAAGCATAGAAAGATAACAGCGACGTTATAATCACCTATACTACACACTTTCTGGCAAAACAGAATAATTGCCACATCGCCGTCGCGTTTTCGGAAACTAACGACAAGTTCTCCTTTGTTACAGAAGGCTTTGAAGGAACAGTACAGTGGTCGTCGTCGACGCTGTCGCCATCGACGTCGTTGCAGGGGTAAGCAAATAAACGATGTTTAGTTTACTCACGATAAATAGCCGCGACGCGTCCTCAAACTGAAAAGCGGATTCGAGGCTTTGAGAGGAACTCGCGATTTCTATAGATTTCCGCTGTTTCGGTAACGGAGGGGTTGTATTTAATCCTTTTCAATTATTAACGAGTCCAACGTCCAACATGGGGAATAGCCATAATTTAAATGGGACACACTATTGTGTATTTTATACGATGCAAATCTCAGAAATTTATGCTGGACTCTCTCCAACGTTACTTCACAGAATATATAGAAATCGAGAGAATGGTATTGCAAAGGAGTTCTCCCAACGTTTCGTACAGTAGTTCAACGTTCTAGCTATTATCTGTTTAGAATGTAGGCTAGCATTAACCTGTGCATATTATTAAATTCTGTTTCCCCGAATTGAGCATAGGAAATAGACACCACAATGATTAAATTTCAGGATGTAGACATTGCATTTAAAAATCACAATTAATAAATATGAATTCTGTTTCCCCAAATCGAGCATAGGAAATACACCACAATGAATAAATTTCAGGAGGTAAACATTGAATTTAAAAATTCTATAGACTCTCTTGCATCCGCATGAAGAGTGTTCTATAAAGTGTACACTTTTTTTTTACAATGCCCTCAATATTTTTACCTAGTGTAGCCAGATTTTGATTAGGTTCGAAAGGTAGTCACAGTTCACCTAAAAATGTTTGCAAGCCAGGAACCCACGAAACGAAGAAACAAAGGGGGATCGCCGTTTAAAGATTTTGGCAACGGTCTGGAATCCATCGTGTCGAGCGGCTAATCGAGCCCGAGGCCAAACAGCCTAATGAACCGGCCGTGCGCGTGATCCGATTGTCGAATCGATCCTTCGTCGAACATCCCTCCCGGAAAATCGTCGATGTGTTTGGGAAACGTCGAAGCCAGGATTAATTCCGCTCCCTCCTCGTCGCGACTCTCGAGTGCGAGTGAAATTTTGCGAAATCGCGACATCAAAGGGATCGTCTCTTGGAAAATACGCACACAAAAAAATACCTTTTGGGAGCGTAGGTCGAGACGCGACACGGAGAAAATCGATAACATTTCCGCCGCGCTGTCGACGGCGCGCAGCTATCTGAAATTCCCATCGAAATTACCGCCTACGCTCGCGCAACACGGGTAAACGAACTAAAGAAGAAACGATGTTACAATAACGTTTGGTAATTTAGCAATGGAATCTCTATACGACGATTTAGTACGACAGTTAAGTAGTGGGTCACGCGGAAACGTATGATTCTCGAGTGTTTTTATTGTCCTGGTCGCCGCAGAGCTCGACAGAATGCGAAATTATGAGTTCGCGTGTTCTTGGAGGGTGGCGATACGCGGACGAAGTAGGGTATCGGCACGATCGAGACCGCGGTTAGGCTCGCGAGATCGTCGCGATATCAAAACCATCGAGTGGATAAACCGTGGCAAGATTATCTCCGGGGATTATTATTATTGTTCGTCAGAAATGGCGTTGTCCTTAGTATATCGATTATTTATTTCGATAAAACGAGAAGAAGCCTTCGGGTAGTTGTTTCGTGGATTTATTTAATTGGAGGATTTTAAAAGCGACTCAGATTTGTAACCCTTTCAGTGCTGAATACTCCTAATTACTTTATTAAGAACATATCTCACCTTGAACATTGACGAACTGGAACATTGGATCTCGATGAAAACGTAACAAAAAAAAATATACAAAACAGTGGTAATTGCGTCGCAAACATGAGATTGAGAGTCCAGCACGCATGTACACGTGTCCGTGGCACTGAAAGGGTTGAAATCTGGCCTGGAAGCTTCTAATTAACGTTAGCTAACGATCGATACCGGCGAACGAAGAGACAATACCATGGAGAGTTAATCCGTGACGGTTAACGCGAGTGCACGATTCGGGATAATGCGCTCGCCCGTTTCCCACGTTATCCTCCCTAAACCCGACCAGTTCCGAAAACCGAAAGGGATGGGAGCGGTATCTGCTCGCGAGTAATGGTTTTTGGCGAGTCGTAATCGTGAACGATAATACTCCAGAGGATCGCAGCTGCGAAGCGAATTGGCACGCGTGCACTTGTCGCCGACGCTGCCAACATTCGAATGGGTTGCGTTCTCTCCTGGGCGCATTTCGTCAAATGGAACCAGCCCTCCTCGTCCCCTATCCATCGACCCTCTTTACACATCCTCGAACGAAACTTACATCGTCACACCTGTAGGGAATCGCGAAAACGACGGTGTTCCAAACAGGAGTCGATTCGTGACATGAATCGATAGACCGGCGATGTGGTCGCCGAACCAGAGAAAGATAGACGCGGAATTCTTAGGGTAGTTGTTTCCAAACTTTTCGAAAAGGCGTCCCTCCTTAGCGGAAAGTAAAGTTTCCAGAGCTGGTATTTACGAGCATCTCAAAGTGTATCGTGTTTCTTTTAGTCAGTTCCGAATTAATGGGAGAAATAGATTTTGGACTATACTTCTTTTTCAGCGATATGGATCAATTTTTTTCTGAAGAAAGGAATATATTTAATTTATCGAAACTTTTGATTAAAATAGAGCAATCCCTTTTCTTCTTCATAGCCTTCGTTTCGAGCTTGCAACTTTTCTTTTCGGGCTCTTTGAGCCTAAATCTAATTCCCCCTTAAGTTATTCGTATAGATTCCCATGTTAGAGGAAAAGTCTGATCGTTTAACTTTCGAACTATTTGTATTGCTAGAATCTTCGTATCGCCTTCGATCAAACATTCCTCCTCGCGGAAGTAGCTTTCCCCGAGGTTTTCCTTCGGGGTAAAACGTGTTTTTCAAGGGCGAGATTAAAGATGCCCGAGCAAAATGGACCTCTTCTGGAATGGCTTCTCGTAATACTTTTCCGTGAACGACGACGACGTCTTCTATCGCTACCGCCAAAATGGTGGAAGGGGTCGGGATCGTGCAAGAACCACGGAGAACCCTCCGGTCAAGATCCCTCCGTAGCGCCATAATCCTCAACTACGATAGACGTCCGTAAATCGCTGACCTTTTTCAGATATCGCCTAGGTCTTTCTCGCTCGCATCCCTCAGAATCTCTAGCGAATTTCCGGAAGAATATCCCGCCCATTCGCTCTCCGAGGTTATCGCGTATCGACCTTCGAAGTTGAAACTACAGTAGTGCTTTTGAATAAATTTGCGTTAGGAATACTCGAAGTAAATACTTGAAATCACCCCTACCGCTGTTCGTGTTGTTTCGGTTGATGCATTTTGACTTAGAAGGGGACATCACAGGGGGTCGTAGATTTACGTGACGATTTATACGTTTATTCCATAGGTTACAAACATGATATTGGCTTGTCCAGAAAGTTCGTGCCGATTTTTAAGAAAAATTCAAAGGCACATTTGTATTTTGATACAATTGTAATTGTAAATATACGCATGCGTATATAATCGAAAATTGTCTATCGTTTAAATTAAACAAATTTCTTCAATAGACATAGAGGGTACGAATACTTATGGGACTGACTGTATACTTCATTCACTTTCACTAAACTACTTGCAATTCTGTATATATTCTGTAATTTGTAGGATATACCAGAGCCTAAGCGGTTAACGTCCAAGTCATGTAAATCCACGAGCCCATAAATGTAATGTCTCCTTGTCAACTCCCCATTCGCTGTCCTCTTCGAGCAACGTCCTCAGCCCATCGAGTTCGACCAGTTCCCAGGACAGAGATTCCCTACCAACGTCTCGTATATCGATGATCAACAGTCCTGATTCGTTTCCAACGAGGCAGAACTTGAAATATATCCGAGTGCAGCGATTCTGTTCGCCGTCGGAGCCTGGGAGAAACGATTTGCGCGACGCGGCGTGGTACGCAGAAAATGTACGCGCGATAACGCGCCGGTCGATTCGACGCGACTCGATCCCTGGCAGCTTCTCGCCGCTCGACCCGTCTCCGCTCGCACGGTTCGTCGACTTTCACGTCCGATCACTCTCTTTGCTTCTCTCCGCGCTAGCGAATCAATACCCATCCACGGTTACCACCCTCCTTCGGCTTTTTCTCCTCTCCGCTCGGCGTGAACTTGGCGACGCACGACCCTGCACGTCTGCCGACCGTTCGCCGTCCGATAACTCGCTCGCGCTTTCCCGAGCGGGCCCTCCACGTGCCACGATCACTGGCGCCAGTTTTCGCGAGACCTTGCGACGACACTTTACGTTTCGATGGGGATTACCGGGGATGACGATAGTAACGACTGTTTACGATGGCGACGAGCGTGACCATCGTGAGCGTATGCGATGGTAACGATAACTATAAGTAAACCTGGGTTAGGTCTGAATCGTAACTATAATAACGACTATGGTGACTTCAAGTATGAATTTTGAATTTAATAACGTGCAACGATAACGCTAACCATGGCAATTGCGACGACTGTACATAAAGGACATTTGCACTCCCACAGGCATGAACACCCTTCATATGTTTCCAGGAACTTTACCACAAGTTCCGAGAACAAAATTGGCGCCAGAAGGCGCTCCTCTTCGTATCGATGGCGCGATGATTAGAGTCTCCAGTGAAGTATTCGTTCCGACGAATAAATCAGCAATTTTTAATTGTTATTCGAAAGAAAGCAGGCCTCAGCTATGCCCCCGCGTGCTCGGCCGTCCACGATTTATCACGCTCGCGATAAAACTCGTTCCAGTCGTCCGTCGGTCGACCTATTTGACATGTCGCGTATTCCTTTATTTTACGACGGGCTCTTTGAGCCCGATAAATCCGTTTTACGAACGCGCCAGATATCCCACGGAACAGGAAATCTCAGGTTCCGGACGGCATGTTGTCGTGCATATTTATACGGCGATTCAGGGTGACAAATTACATGGGATTCCGTGGCAGTCGAAGGCGAAATAGTTTCCTCGGGCGCGAATAAAACTCTTCGCCCCTCGTGGCGTCCTCGAGGATGGTGTTTTTTCTTTTTTTTTTTTTCTTTTTTAGGATTTATAGCGTACTCGTCGAA